CTACACCAAAGTCTTTGACTGTGTTGATCACAACAAACTGTGGAAAATTCTAAAGAGATGGGAATACCAGACCACCTTACCTGCCTCCTGAGAAATCTGTATGCAGGTCAGGAAGCAACAGTTAGAACTGGACATGGAACAATGGACAGGTTCCAAATTGGGAAAGGAGTGCATCAAGGCTGCATATTGTCACCCTGCTTATTCAATTTACATGCAGACTACATCATGTGAAATGCCAAGCTGGATGAAGCACAAACTGGAATCAAGGTTGCAGGGAGAAATATCGATAACCTCAGATATGCAGATGACACCACCCTTATGGCAAAACTAAAGAGTCTCTTGAAGAAAATGAAAGAGGAGAGTGAAAAAGCTGGCTTAAAACTCAACATTCAGAAAACTAAGATGATGGCACCCGGTCCCATCACTTCATGGCAAATAGATGGGGAAACAGTGGAAAGAGTGGCAGACTTTAGACTCCAAAATCACTGCAGATGGTGACTGCAGCCATGAAATTAAAAGATGCTTATTCCTTGGAAGGAAAGTTATGATCAACCTAGACAGCATATTAAAAAGCAGAGACATTACTTTGCCAACAAAGGTCCATGTAGTCCAAGCTATAATTTTTCCAGTAGTCATGTATGGATGTGAGAGTTGGACTATAAAGAAAGCTGAATGCTGACAAACTGATGCTTTTGAACTGTGGTGTTGGAGAAGACTCTTGAGAGTCCCTTGGACTGCAAGAAGATCAAACCAGTCCATCCTAAAGGAGATCAGTCTTGGGTGTTCATTGGAAGGACTGATGCTGAAGCTGAAACTCCAATACTTTGGCCACCTGATGTGAAGAACTGATTCACTAGAAAAGACCCTGATGCTGGGAAAGAGCAAAGGCAGGAGGAGAAGGGGACAGCAAAGGATGAGATGGTTGGATGGCATCACCAAGTCAATGGACACAAATTTGAGCAAACTCTGGGAGTTGGTGATGGACAGGGAAGCCTAGAGTGCTGCTATCCATGGGGTCACAAAGAGTTGGACACGACTGAGTGACTAAACTGAACTGAGAGTGCTCTAGACTCACTCCAGAGCAGGAGCTCAGAGTGTTAAAATATTTAACTAGTGTTTAAATCTCCTAAGAGGAATTCAACAAATATGTCTGCTACTGATGAAAACAGACCAACTAATTAAGGGTATTTTTAATGAGGAATAGTCAAAACAATGAAACCTATTAGAAAACACATCAGAAACACTGCAAGCTCACAAAACTTGGTTTTGATATGTTACAGCAGCAAAAAGTAGCTGCCCTTCAGAGAGGAATTTGTTTATCCAGTTTATATGAGGCAGAAGCCAATCTACTGATTTTAAATGTCCTAATAGCTGAAGCACCAATACTATGGCTAACTGATGCGAAGAGCTGACTCACTGGAAAAGACCCAGATGCTGGGAAAGATTGAAAGCAGGAGGAGAAGGGAATGACAGAGGATAAGATGGTTGGATGGCATCACCGACTCAATGCACGTGAGTTTGAGCAAACTCCAGGAGATAGTGAAGGACAGGGAAGCCTGGCGTTCTGCAGTCCATGGGTCCCAAAGAATCAGATATGACAGCAACTGAAAAACAACAAGTGTTTCTCAAATTTGGGCTGAGACAGTTTCTCAGCAAAGTGTAGTATACAGAGAACTCATCAAACTTAGTACCTCTTACTCATTGAAGGTTCCTGCAAACTCACAATTTCATACTGGCTTATCTAACACTGAAAAAGAATACAATACAAAACAGGCCTCACAAAAAGGTCCCATACACTTAGCTCCCACCAGTATTAACAGCACACCCTCTGAAGAACCTAAGGAGCTATATTTGAGGTAAACACAAGACAGTCCAATAGAGAGAAGTGATAGAACAGGGCCAGATGAGATAAGTATACATAAACCAATTAATAGCTCAGCTGGTAAAGAATCCGCCTGCAATACAGGAGACCCCGGTTTGATTCCTGGGTCAGGAAGATCCCCTGGAGAAGGGATAGGCTGCCCACTCCAGTATTCTTGGGTTTCCCTGGTGGCTCAGCTGGTAAAGAATCCACACACAATGCAAGAGACCTGGGTTCGATCCCTGAGTTGGGAAGATCCCATGGAGAAAAGTAATATCTAAATAGCTAAACTTACTCTGGACAATTCCTTAGGAAAGTCAGGGAAAGTAAGGAAAAATGTAGACCATATATATCCAGAGTTTTCTCCCCTCTCCTTCAGCACAGGGAAATAAGAAGCACCTGGAAACACACTCTCTCTAGAGCAGGTGCTCAGTAACTGGATCAGCTGAAATCCACTATACCATTTAGTTTCTGTCTCTTTCTTATGAGTACATGTTGTCTGGTTTTTTGGTCTCTTTGGTTTTTTTTACAGATACACTACAGTTAAATTCATACATTAATAAGTTAATGTAGCAGTTAACTGCTTCTTTCCTTCTGCTAACAGTTCTTTTTTTTTTTTTTCTTTTCAGTATTTGATCACTGCTCCCTTCCTTGCCAAGGGCCTTACTGATTCTCCCCTCTCATTTTACTCAAGTGATCTGAAATGTCACATCATTTGCAAATGAAGTAATAAAATACGATGAATTTTAGATGTCTATTTCCCCATTAATTGGGTCTCTTTCCACACTCCACCTTTCCAATTCTTCCTTACTCTCAAGTCATAATGTAAAGAGAGTTTAAGGATAAAAAGCAAATAGTATGTAAGAGAGAAGTGCCATGTATTTCCCTCAAGATGAAATTAACAACATAAGCTCTTTAGGTAAAAAAAGAAAAAAAAATTAAAGAAAGCAAACAAATGTATCATCTGACTTGTGTTTAAAATCTGCTTTGACTTTTAAGAATTTTAATACCAGAAACAAATTTCATCTTACATGATTTAAAGTTTTATTTTCAAATCTCTTCCAACAAACACATTTGCAAGCAGAAACTCTTTAAATGTGGATAAGTAGGACTAATTACCAGAGTCTCCAAAATCTAGTATCTTAACTTCAACTACTCTAAATTGCTAATAAAATGGCTGTGACTTAGACATATAGCACAGCGACGTTTCATTTGTTTATCTTTGGCCATGCCCCAGAAGCTTGTTCACCCCTGGGATTGAAGCTGGGCCCTCCCCAATGAAAGGGCAGAGTTCTAAGCACTAGTGTGTGCTAACTGCTCAGTCATGTCCGACTCTTTGTGACCCCCACGGACTGTAGCCCACTAGGCTTCTCTGTCCATGGGATTCTCCAGGCAAGAATACTGGAGTGGATTGCCATTCCCTTTGCCAGAAGATCTTCCCGACCCAGGGATCAAACCCTGGTCTCCTGCATGGCAGGCAGATTCTTTACCATTTGAGCTACATGGAAATCCTTGTTAACTCCTAGACTACCAGGGAATTCCCTACAGCCACGTTTTGATTGGCCATGGACCCTTCAAATTTGCTCTCAGTTCTAGGGCTACTGTGAATTACTTGGAAATGCAAAATTAATCTCCATAGTATCTAAGAGAATAGCTAACCTGGGTCACCTCTATTCTAGACCTAGGTTAACCAGTGGAGTATCTTTGAGAAATACTTTCCATTCTTTAAGTTCCCCATAAGTAGACCAGTTAATTACAAATTTATATTTTTCAATGACACTATATTATATGAGCTTCTCTGATGGCTCAGAGGTAAAGAATTCGCCTGCCAATGTAGAAACACAAGAGATGCGGTTTCCATCCCTGGGTCGGGAAGATCCCCAGAGAAGGAAATGGCAACCCACTCCAGTATTCTTGCCTGGAGAATTCCATGCAAAGAGGAGCTGGGGGGCTACAGTCCATGGGATCGCAAGAGTTGGACACGACTTAGCAACTAAACAACAACAATAACAGTACTATGTATATATTCCGCTCAAGACTTTTAATAAGTCATTGACCATACCTAGGGCATCTTTCCCATCCATCATCCACTATTTAAAACCTAAATAAAACTTATCTCCAAAAATCCTTTCTAATTAACTCTTTCCAACTCTCTGTATTCCCTTTATATTTAATATAACACTAATTTCAATAGACTCTCTTCAATTTTTAACCACTCCCATTCCTCACACCCCCTTCAGTTCTGTCCATCCAGTCTTTCCATCGCTGTTCTAAGCACTTCTGCAGAGAGCAATCAACAAAAGCCCTGGTTTATATTTATACTAACAAGCTATGAAAATAGCAATTTAACAAAATAATAAATTTTTTGCAGATAAAAATGCTCGATAATATGTGTGTGGGCATGTGCGCTGTTGTGTTATACTAAAATCAGGAAAATTCAGAAAAATAGGGAAATGGAGGATTAAGTAATGCAGTCAAAAAAGAAAACACCACAAAAATGCTTCAGTGCAAAACAATGAACAACAATAATCTCTGAATTAGTGAGGCTTTAATAAAATTCTGGATGGGAAACCTCTCGACATTACCACCAGCCTTTAAAAAATTACTTTCCAGTATTACTAGCAGCGGTATTTTTACTAACATTGAATTCCAACCAAGTTTTCCTCCCAAGCAGCCTGACAAATAAAATGTTTCAGTTCAGAAACCCAGTCAATTACCACTTAAAGTCGTGTAAGGGAAAGAGAGATTCAACCCTCCAGTAAAAACTGGAGTGATGAGCAAACAGGTGAAAAATGGACGGTTTCGCAAAGTGGGGAAGAAAAATGAGACTCCGCCTCCTCTCTGGGGGCTCAGACTCGGTTCACAGCTTCGGAGACAACCCCATACCCCAGACCCTCTCCCATAGCAGCACTGCAAGGTTCTAAGAAACCAGGGGTCCTCCTCCCCTCTCCCCGCATGCACGCCCCCACTCGCCTGGCCAAGCTCCCCTAGATCGCCCCAAATCCGCCCGCCCTTTCCCGAGGAAAGGGTCAGCAAAGGACGTTTTCCCGAGGCCTTCTCCGGGACCCAGCTAGCAGAGACCTCCGCAAAGGTGGGGAGACCCGAGAAGCTTGAAGAAGAAGCCTCACAATCCTGTTACCTGGTCGAAACCTTGGAAACGGAAACGGCAGCTACAGTCGCTACCCTTCTCCCCCACAACGCTTGCCTCAGCGCCACTGACATTGAGACCGCCGCCATCTTGCTACAGGCAGACACTAGGACGGATCACCGCAAGGGACAAGCTTCCTTCGTTTTCAAGCCCATGAAACCGCAACGCAAAAGAGTGGTGGGGCGGGTGGTTGGGTTAATTTGATTCTTGTTAGGTGTTTTGTTAAATAATGGAGTTTTTTAAAGAGGTGAAACGTCTGGTTGCAAGAGATAAGAAGGAAAATGGACGGAAGAAAAATTCAAGAAGTGCATTAAGTGTAAATATCAGCCCCATAAAATAAAATCCTTGTCTGTTGTTAGGACTGGTTTACATACCGGTTAATGAAGAGACCGAAGGAAAATGCTTGAGAATTTCAACACCTGCAACTCATAATTTTTTCAAAGGACTCAATATAAGGGGCTGAGCCCACTAGAAGAGCCAGAGGGCTCGTTGGTTCTTGAGAACCTAAAGTAGTACTTTTCCAAAATGTTGCCAGATTCAGTTTGCAAGCCCTCAGGAAAGGACTGTATTCAGTTTGATGTTCTGCAGTTGATAGTTATAATGATCATATTTTCCAAATGAAAAATCTAGACACATGGCCTGGCAAAGATTTTTTTTTTTTGATGTGTGTTTTCATATGAAAAACTTATGAAACATAGTATTTTATATCAGTCTTTTCCCAGTAGATCCTGAACCTGTAATCATAATCCATGGATACTAGACATCCAAAACAAAAATTATCTTCTGAGGCAATTTAGAAACATGTTTGTATTTTGGGCTACTAACCTTAAGAACAATGATTAACTGTGGATTATAAAATAAAAAGCAGGTTCATTGGTGGGGTGTGCTATTTTAGAGAACTTTTTTTAAGCTAGAATGCCCTGCTTTTAAAATTAAGCAGGTGAAAACAATCTTTATTAAAAGAATAGTATTAACAGGTGGATGGGGAATGCCTTGGTTCTGCATTAAGGCCAATTAAAAGAAAACGAAATACATCAGGGAAAGGGGTTAAGAAAGAGATTGAGTGGGGAGGGAAATGGGATGGGTGTTTAAGAGGGAAGGGGGCATAGGTATACCTGTGGCTGATTCATGTTGCTGTTTGGCAGAAACCAACACAATGCTGTAAAGCAATTATCCTTCAATTAAAAATAAATTAATTTTAAAAAAAGATTGAGCCCATAGCACCTAGTACCAGAGAGGAAGCCTTGTCCAGGGAAAGAGGAAATGCACAGAAAGATGGAGGAAGAGATATCCCACAGAGAATTTTCTTTTAAACTTTTAATTTTGAAATAGATTTCACAGGAAGTGGCAAAAACAGTACAGAGGGCTCTTGTACAAACTTAACCCAGTTTCCCCCATTGATTATGTCTTATATAATTGTTGTACAGTATGGAAGCCAGGAAACTGAGTTTGATATAAAGTGTTTATGCATTCCTTTGTCATTCTAGCACATGTGTCAGTTCATGAAACCCTTAACAGAATCAAGATGCAGGACTGTTCCATCACCCCAAAGATTTCCCCTGGTGCTGCTCTTTTATATACCCACCTCCCAACCCCTGGCCACTACTACTGTTTCCATTGGTAGAATTTCCTATTTCAAGAATGCGTATAAATAGATTCATATATACAACTTTTTGACATTGGCTTCTTCACTCTTCATTGTGCCTTTGAGATCCATTCAAGTTACCGTGTTTAACAATAGTTCATCTCTTTTTATTTCTGGGTAGTATTCTGTAGGTTATTAGTCTAGATTCTCTAGAAAAACAAACTGAATAGGATATATATATATCTGGATGATCACAGTTTGATTAACCATTCACCTGCTGCAGAACATTTTGTTTTGGTTAGGACTATTACAGATAAAACTGCTATGAACAATCATGTACAGGTTTTTGTGTGCACAAAAATTTTCGTTTCTCTGGGATAAATGCTCAAATGTGCAATGTATATTTTGTTTTTTTTTTAATAAAACTGCTAAACTATTTTCCAGAAAAGCTGTACCATTTTTCATTCCCACTAGCACTGTATGAAAACCAGATTCTCCATGTCCCCACCAATATTTTTAAATTTCAGTTCAGCTAACATAAATAATAGGTGTGTAATGATAGTTCATCAAGATCTTAATTTATATTCCCATGATGTGGAATATCTTTTCATGTGTTTATTTGCCATTATGAGTATTCCATTCAGTTCAATCTCTCATTTTGCCCATTTTCTAATTGCATTAGTAGTTTTTTGCTGTTACATTTTGACAGGTTTTATGTAGTCCAGATATGAGTCTTTTATCAGATATGTGATTCACAAATATTTTCTCCTGTCAGTAGCTTGTCTTTTCATCCTCTTAACAGGATGTGTTGCTCAGTAAATATTTTTAATTTTGATGAAGTCCAGTTTAGTCATTTTTAAATTTATGAATTATGCTTTCTTTTGCTTCCATGTTTTACTTATTTATTTTTGTTGCATTATAATTAACATGCAATATTGTAGTAGTTTCAAGTGTTTAACAGTAATTCAATAGTTTTGTACTTTATTAAATGAATATGGCAGTAAGACCATTTGCCATCTGTCACCATACAAAGTCGTTATGATATTATTGACTGTATTCCCTATTTGTACATTATATCCTTGTGACTTCTTTATTTTATAGCTAGAAGTTTCTGCCTCTTAATCCCTTTCACCTATTTTGTCTGTCTCCCTACCCCACTCCCATCTGGCAGCCACCAGTTTGTTCTCTGTATCTATGAGTCTGTTTCTATTTTGATTTGTTTGCCCATTTGTTTTATATTTTACATTCCACATGTAAGTGAAATCGTACAGTATCTGTTTTTCTCTGTTTGACTTATTTCACTTAGCATAATACCCTCCAGATCCATCTATGTTATTGCAAATGACCTGATTTCATTATTACTTGTGGCTGAGTAATATTCCATTTTATATATAGACCACTCCATCTTTATTCATTCATCTATTGATTGATACTTAGGTTGCTTTCATGTCTTGTCTATTTTAAATCTTTCTGTAATAAACATAGGAGAGCATATATCTTTTCAAATCAGTGTTTTCATTTTCTCTGGATACATACCCAGAAGTTGATTTGCTAGATCATATGGAAGTTCTATTTTTAGTTTCTTGAACCCCCATCCTGTTGCTTCTGGTATCTCGTCCAAGTACTGTTTACCAACCCTAGGTCCTAAAGATTTTCTGTTTTCTTCTAAAGGTTTTTTTGCCTCACCTTTTACATTTAATTCTATGACCCACTCTTGAGTTAGTTTTTGAGTTAAGTTTTAAGTTAATAAGGTGTGAGGTATAGGTCAAAGTTCAGTTTTTTACCTGTGGATATCCAATTGTTTTAGCGCTAAGCATTGAAAAGATTGTCCTTCTCTCATTGAATTGGTTTTGTACCTTTGTCAAAAAAAACAGTTAGCCGTACTTGTGTGTGGCTATTTCTGGGTTCTCTATGTCAGGAGAATTTTAAGGCTAAGGGTGACTTTGATTTTAGATTAAATTTTTATAAATATGTTTTCTTTTTTGAGGAGTAACATATGATCTGTCCAAATATTCATAAGAGCAACTTACTATAGCCATGTTTCTAGTCCTACTGGCCTAAACCCAACCTTTCCACCTACCTCCACCTACTGTAGTACCTTCCTTCTATGAGTTTGCAATCCCAGCAAAAACTTCACTCTCCAGTTTTTTTTGCCTTGACCTGTGTCTTCTGTGTTGGCAGGTGGATGCTTTATCACTGAGCCACGTAGGAAGCCTGGATCATAAGGTAGCTCTATTTTCAGTTTCTTGAGGAAACTCCGTACTGTTTTCCATCATGGCTTTCTAATTTACACTCCCACAAACAGTGCACAAAGGTTTCCTTTTCTCCATACCCACAGCTCATGACCCGAAACTAGCATTGCCAATAATACACTCCTATAGAATCTCTGGTTCTCCTGACCTTCTGCTGGATTTCCTCACCCACCCACACATGGGTTGCTTTCTGACCTAACATACACAATGTAAGCCTGAGAATGAAACAGAAATAACTTGCTGTGTACTTTTTTTTTTTCCTAGCAATTTCACCTAAACTATAGATTCTACCACTAAGCTTAATAGAATGTCTAGGTCCAAATACCATTTTAGTATCTCAATAGGAGTATTAAAATATGAGTTGACTTTAACTTTTGCTTGCATTTCTTGCATGGTTCCCAGAATACTCCTCCTGAGCCGCTCATGATGGCTAAATAAAATAGCAACCTAAGATACTTAATTTACTACCAACAATTACTCACTATCTAACCTTATCTGATCAGGACTTTGTGCTAGCTGTTCTCTGTGGCTAGAATGCTATTCCTTGTGTCTGGAATAATCTCTCACCTTTCTCTCTCTCTCACACAAATCACCTTTTCAATGATGTCCTTTCTGACTACCCTGTCTAAACTTTTGACCCCACCACACTGTCTATTCATCTTCCCTGCTTTATTTTTCCTCCTTAGCATTCTTGTAAGTTTTAGCACTTTTTGAACTTTCTACAATAAATGTGAATTATAAAATGAGGGAGAAAATTATCCAGTAGTTAAGATCAATCTTCTACTTATGGATGTAAACTTTTCCTAACCAGGAATGTTGCCAGGTATAATTATTCTATTTCTACAATTAACCAAATGAAGATATTTTACTTAGTTACAACAATTAGTGAACTATATAATTCTACTCTCCCTGTACCTGGAAATCTGCAGGAAATCTGCATTTATATCCACTTTGGATATAAATGGAACACATAATCATGTCACCTGTATAAATCCCTCCACTGGCTTACCAGTGTCTTCAGGATAAAGACAAAAACCCCCTCACCTGATCTGACAGGCTCCATATGGTCTGTCCCCACCTTCTTTCCTGTTTACCTACTGACTGTCCTGCACTGAACCTTTCACAAATGGTCACCTTTGCCACAAATGCTCTTCTTTGCCTCTTCTCTAGCCAGCCTCCTTGCCTTTCAGATCACAGCACGGGAGTCCCGCCTGTGGTAGAAAATGTAGGTATCTTATAAGCATTTCCCACC